TTAATTTTCGCTTGTGACAACGTGTGCACACATAAGGTAAAGAATAATTTAACACAACGACATGATTTATAGAAGAATTTGCATAATAAAAATGATTATTCATGCGTTCAGCAATTACGCGGTTTTTTTTGTTCTCTTCGTTGTTTACTTCTTCCAACAAAGATGGCGTCGAGATTTCAACAGCTAGAAAATAACTTTTTTCTTTCTTTCGGGAAGGCGTGATCTTGTGTCTTTCGTTCATGGAGCCCACCATTCATTGATAGTCGTGACAAATTGAAACTATCGATAGTGCCATCGATAGTTTTGCAGCTCTGTCACATAGTACAAAAAAAAAAAATGGATTTAGGTGCTGTGAGTTTTGATATTGAATATTTTAATAGTAGGACTTCTAAGAACCCAAACTTTCTTAAGGAATGTAAATCATCTCCTCCTGCTTCGTTTAAATGCTTATCTGACAACAAAGCAGGTCGTTTCATTTGCGATACTTGTTGCAAGAGATTTAAAAAACCATGCCTCTTACATCGCCATGAAGTTGTTCATTCATCAGAAAAGCCCTACTCCGTAAGTAACATTTATATCATCTCAAGACTGGAATTGGCTAATCATATTGATAAATCTTTTACATACATAGTGCTCCAAATGCAGTAAACGGTTTACACAGAGTTCCTCATTGCAACGACATCGGGCGGAACAGCACAAGCCTGACAGGAAACGTTACCAATGTGGGAAATGCCCCCTGAGGTAATATACATATTAATACTACAATTAAATACACAGTATGGTTCCATTTGTTCTCATATAGCTTTGGACAAAAAGGCAATTTGAATATTCATGGGAAAAAGGTACACCCGACGAAAGCTATTGGTACGCACGTCTGCGATCTGTGTGAATCTGTATACAGCAACAAACAAAAACTTAGTAGGCACATAAATACAGTACACAGCAATAGCAGTAAACATAAAAGTGCTATTGGGAAATCAAATGATATTGTGCAAGATGATTTAGCGCTAACGCAAAGAGTTTTAGAGCAGCTTAAAACATTTCAAAGGGAAATGCAAGCCTTAGAATCTCAGTCCATGGAAACCACGGACAATTTAGAAAGGCCAATAATAACCGTGTTAAACAGTGCTCACCAAACGAATAAAGGAACACTGCAACATCAACATCATGACTCTGTATCCTCAGTCAATGAAGAGCAAGAATCAGAGTCCTGCATATCTGTGCGGCGCTTTCCTCGTGCGGTTGGCTGCTCGCAATACGAGTGTGAGTTTTGCACGAAGAATTTCCGAAAGTACTACGACTACGTAAGGTTAGATTACATTTTTGAATTAGTATTACATATGTAATTTAATATGTAGTAATGTTCAATCAATACTTAAGACATCACAGGGTGCATACACGGGAGAAACCTTACAAGTGTGCATTTTGTCAACGATACTTCAGCGCAAAAACGAAAGTACTAGATCATTCAAAGATACATCGTTTAGATGAGCATGTAGGCATCATAACCAAACAATATCCCTGTGCAGTTTGTTGCCAAACTTTTAGTTCGCTAAGATTGCTTGATAATCATATGAGGTATATATCAGCAACTAATTTATAAATAACCCGTTGTAATTTGATTTTTTCTTATCCAGCACACATGCTGAGTCTTATATTGTAAAATACAAATGCATGGCCTGTGAGGCTATATTTAATTCAAGCAGCAAGCTTATGTCTCATAAACACCTGAGATCGGATGAGGAAGTACTATTTTTGCAGCAACTAATACCACCGCCAGTAGAAGTACTCGTAAACCCAAATGCCAATGCATCAGACAACAGCCCTAAATGCACATCTATAAAAGCGAAACCCAATTCAGATAAATTGAAGTGTTGTACATGCGAAAGGTGAATATGCCCTGTGTTCGATTCCAATTAATTTACTCATAATTTACAGACTGTTCTCGAGCTCATCTGTGCTGCGTAATCACCGACGTATCTATCATGGTGCCTATAGTCGCACCTCTAATAACACTGGCTTAGCTTATTCACACTATTTTAGATGTGCCTATTGTGCCCGACTTTTTAAAACCTCATCACATTGTAGAACACATATGCTTACGCACTTGAAAAATTTGTTAAACGTTGGTTCAACGGGTCAAGTAAAGGGAGACCAAATACCTCCAAAAGTGAGCATAGTCAATGCAATAGTAATTATCACTGACACCACAATCAAAGCAAACATAAAAATTGCTCAATTTAATATATTAGCCCCGAAACAGACGAAAGCGCAAAAGGGGGAACTAATACGCCCTTTATGCGCGAAAGCTTTGCTTCGGCATAAATGCCATTTTTGCTCAAGTCAATTTGTCAAATCGTGCGACCTTAAACGTCATTTAGTTACGCATACCCGTGAGCGAATGCATGAATGCTCCACATGCCGTAAGTCTTTCAGCTTGAGGAGCACGCTTAGACAACATCGGCTGGTACATGAAATGGAACGTAAAAAACACATCTGTATCGTTTGTGGAAAAACGTATTCTGCTAAGAAATCACTAAATGTTCATTTGAGATTGCATACTGGCGAGCAACCGTTTGCTTGTGAACATTGTGCACTTAAGTTTCGTACATCAGGCCAAAGAATTACTCATCTAAAAGTGGTACATGGATTAAAAAAATATGTGCCTGCAGAAAAAGACTAAGCAAGGATGCACGACCGATGGTTTTCCTACAGATAAAATTATATTTTGTTTTGAATTCAATGTAAAACAACTAATGTATCTTAAATTAAATACTATTCCATCTTTGAAATATTCTATGAAAGTTATATTAAGTAAATATGTGTATGTACATATGTATTTTGCACATAGTACGTTGCGAAAAATCTCATGACATATACTTTTTTAGGAGATAATAAATAACTAGTCATATTTAAAGTAATTACAAACTATTTCCAACGAAAATTCAAGTAGCTAAAAAAAATAATGATTTTTTCTTCAAATAACGAGTTTTATCATATTTACATATGAAAACCTGGCGATAGTCCATAATTAAATTGAGCGTCTCGCTCCTGACTGCGTGCCAATTCTATTGTTTTCTGTCGCTTGTCGGCAACTATGAAGTCATCGATGTCGTCGCACATTTCAGAGTCTCCGCGCTTGCGCTGATGCAGCGGAGATCTATGCGCCGCAACTACTGACGCCTCTTCAGCCTCGCTGGCCTGATATTGTAGATAATGATCTGCTATTTTCTTTTCAGAACTGAAGAGAAAAAAGGGAAACAATTAACATTCTTCTAACACATTTATTTGGTATTTTTATACTCACATTTTCAACAAATACGGATCAAAAGGAAAGAAGGTGTCGAGTGTTTCTTCTGGCGTAGCCGTGTCATTTGCATAAACTGTCGCCAGTTTTCGTCGTGCATTTCGCTCCAATATCGCATGGCAATAGGCTAGCTGATAAGCTCGCGTAACACCTGCAAATGCCGTTGCCACAGCTGGCAAACAAACGCGTAACGGATTAAAGTTACAGGTGACTATAGCTGATAACTGTAGTGACTGTAGGAAAAGTAAGCCTGAAATATGTAATGTATGTAAATATAGTGTGTAAACTATCGTTCCATGTGGTTATAAACGATATTAACATACTTTTTTTTTCAGCCGTTAAATCACGACTGCGAAAAGCTATTACATAGAAAACGGCTTGGCACAGCGAGAAGAATACAATATTTGCTTTCAGAGAACCATTTTGACGATACTGATCACAGCGTTGTATGTACTGATGCGCCCAATCACATAGCTCCTTCAAATAGAATTTAAGGACGCTGAAAATTATTCAAATGTTATTAAATAATTTCTACGCAATACTATTTCTCATGGACTGAAATTCCTTACGGTAGTGGCACAAACTTCGCGCGCGCCAAAAAGCTCGCTATGTAACCTACAGCAGCTTGCCGTATAACGGCGGACACATTAGGGTTTTTAATTTTTTCCCAAAGTGAAGCAAGGAAAGCTTCTGCGATGGCATTCTATATAGAGAAAAAACATTTACATAATAATTACAGATTCAAGGGATTTTTAAGGCGTAAAAAACTAAATGTTCACCTTGAAACTGCAATAATAAAACAGCAAAAACTGCACGTGGTGTGTGTTGTGTGAAGGTAATATAACGGTATCAAACCCCGACAGTAGCACTTTCCAAAATTTGTTCAGTTGTGGTTTTTGTTCCGCGGTTGTTTGGAGTAAATTGGGACTTCTGGAATCTAAAAAATTATACACTTTTTCCATACAAATATCGAGTGTATGTGCGATTGGATGCTTCATGGGCAACATATCTTCATCTTTATAATTAAAAATTAAAAAAGAAAAATTTAGATATACTATGTACATATACATATGTAAATAAACTTGTATAAAAAAAAAAAAATTTTGCTAACCCTTCGCACAGTCGTCCATTTCGAAAATTTCCTTATCATTTTCTTCCTCCAACTCTTCGTCTTCGCAATCTGTTTCTTCGATTTCACTGCGAGGAGCGTTAACATCCAGCATTACTAATCTGAAAAAATTAATGCATAAATACGTTTTCTAAACCGTTTTTCTTAAATCTTACTTTCGGAATGCCAATTGTATCACAAATTCCGTGAAAATAGGTTTATATTCCATCAGCCAGAGCACACTGTGTAGATACCCAGCTATAACATGCGATGGCTTTTTGAAATATGGGAATTTATTTTCAACGGCTTCCCACACAACTTCAAAACTCATTGGGATTGCAGTAAGAACGCGATCTAATAATTTATGCACAGCCTCTAATTCGGTCTTAACGTTTTCGATTGGTGAACCATTCGGCCAGAGTGCCGCGTCTGCATCATCTGGTATCCACAGAGAAATTAACTTTGGTATGCCAAATTCAACGTATTTATTGTGTGCCACCATAATATCAATATAAAATTCTGTATAAGCTTGTATTGCAGCTACTTCCCTCTTGGTCCATGGAACCGAAATCAAAGCCTCTACTAAATTTGTAAATTTTGGGCTTAGATCATTTATTAATTTGCGTGCGTCTGACATTACGTTCAAAAACTCTAAATCCTGGAATAATAACATAGTGTAAATTAAGACATTTAATTGATAAAAAAAAGTCTTACGCTCATTTCAGTTTCCCTTAAAAACGCTACAAATTCGTTTAATGGTTGAAAGTTGTTATGGTCATTAACTGCTTCAACAGCATCCAAGATACCCTTACGTTTAGGCATTTCAAAACGTACTTTATTGATGGCAATATTTTTAGCCTTTTCACGTTCCGCTGGCGAGTATGCTTTGAGGATGGACGACAGTCCAGTTTTCACGCTATATACCGACATTATTGCACAACTTGACTATTTTTTGTATGAAATAAAAAATTTTCCAATGATACACAGCCGTTATTGTGTATGAAAGGATCTCTGGGTCGGTATTATTTTATGAAAGGATCTCCAGAGATAAGGGCTTCCTTACTTGAAATGTCTAATAGGCAAGTTATTTTACTTCCACGTTTCACTTGAATTATTTCGCCCTTACTAGACTTCGATATCTGTATTTTCGACTCTTCTAACATGTCTTATTCAAAGTAATCAAAACCAAATAAATTGGTTTTCCCGACAGAAAGTCGTAATTTAATAGAATTGCAGACGTGTGCGACGAAAAATAAAAAGCACGTTGCAGATTTTTTCACCGAATTGTGTAAATGTCAAAAAAAGTAGTGTTGCTTTCTTTGTCCATTGCTGCCCGCACAGGGATGCATTCGGTTTATGCTTAGTGAAGTCAAATGTAATGGTTACTCGTAAAATTTCCCTTCTAGGGCCGGTTTTTAAATGAAATACATATATTAAAATTAGCAATACTTCCGCAATTAAACCGGCGCATTTTAAATAACACGATTTTCATAGAATTTTTTATATGTATTTATTAATTTTCATAGGTTTCTTATAAAAGCCACTACATATTTTAAAATGTCTCCGTTTAAGCAATGAATTCGTATGGAATTGGTGCCAATTGAATTGGCTCCTCAATTTTCTTAACGAAGTGCGCTTTCTTTGGTGGCGCAGGTTGACGCTTCAGATTCACATAAACACCCTTGGCCTTGGCCTCCTTCAGCTTGAGTTCATTCTCCTTAACGCGGCGCAGGAAATCCTCACGGCACTTGGAGTGATGTACATGTTCGATGCGTACATTGATACGCTTAGGTAGGATCTTACCGCGCACACGTTTGTTTACAATGACACCAACAGCATGTGGGGTAACGTTGTACACACGACCAGTTTTGCCGTGGTAAGCTTTGTAGGGCATACCCTTTTGCACAGCACCGTGACCTTTGATGTCAACAATATCGCCGATTTTGAAGACGCGCATGTATGTGGACAGAGGAATGGTCCCATGCTTGCGGAAGGGACGCGAGAACATATCTCGGGTGCCGCGACGATAACCCTTCGAGTTAGTCATTTTTGCGCTTGCCTTGGTTGCCTGAAAAATTCACATATTTCATTAAGCAATGCATTATTTCAGATTAGAGCGCTATTGTGCTCTATTTTATTAAACATTTTATATTATTTAGGCACTTTTTCACTAAAATGCATATACCTTTAGGAAAAGATGTCCACGCGGTCCAAGATGAAGTCTAGAAAGAGAGTTGCCAGTCGCGGAAGAAGAAAATTTTGATAGTTCGTATTTTTGACAACCTTTCGAAAACTCCCGGGCGTGTTCAACTCAGTGGTTGCTATGCTGATTTTACACGTGGCAACTGTTGAAGCAACGCTGTTGGTGCATTTGCGTGCAAATATTTTACCGGATCCCGAGCTCACGGAAACATTAATAAATTTTCTGGTGACGATTGCGGTGTTCGGCACTTTTCAGGCTTTCATATATAGCTAAATTGTATAGCTGAACGTCCTAAAGCACATGTATTTTGTTTTTACTTTTGATAAGTGTGCTGTCAAATCAGTAAAAGCAAAAACAAAATACATGTAAGGCGAAGAAATCAGCTGATCTAACAACACCAGCTTGTATGAATTCGCTTTGGATTTGCCGCATTGACTCGCGTCAAAAGTAGAGAGTTGTGCGAATTTTATCAGTTGCGGCAAGGCATGAGTTGCCAATGTGGCGACTTCTATTCAAAATCACAAGGGGTCTTCATCTAAAGTGATAAAAGGATAAATTGCTTAAATTTATCAGTTTATCCGTATTCTTTCATTAACGCACCTTGGTAAATAATTGCATGAAACTGTAAATTATTTAACTTATTTGGCTAGTCACGTTTCATTCTTACCTTATCCATTGTGTTCATTTGCTTGTATGTGTTTGTAGCAAACGCGACTTACAGGTTTATTCTGCGCTGGTAATAAACATTTTGTAACCGGTAAATAAAGTTCCTGTCAATTTTTAAACCCTTTTCGCATTCTGTGTGCTCTTGTAACCGGTAATTTTGTTACTATCTCATAAACTGGTAACAAAGTATTGCCCCGTGCAAAGAACTTAAATGTATTTACATTGTATGTACATTTACGTTCTTTGGCCATTATTTACAATCGGATATTCGACTAGTGTTCGATTTTATCATATATGTAATACTTCTATATTGGCAGTAAGCTAACTTCTCAATGTGTAAGCATTCCGAAATCAGAGCGAGACAGTCTAGTACTGTTTTTGTCAATGTATTGTGTACTTGGGTGCCGTTTTTGTATATGTGTTGTGTACATGTTTATTTATAAACGTATGTGTTCCTTTTCTATCGTACGTGTTTATTGATATATCTGTACTGTAGTGTTTTCGGACGGTACTAGCTCCTACTGCCAATATAGGAGATTACCATGAACCAAAAAGACAAGATCACGCGGGCAGGAGACTAGCCCGTTAGAATCGCATTAAGGAAAAAAGTTGAACGATTTTGACATTAGGTTGGTGCATGATTCAATAATAACTACAAGGTTCGATAAACTGACAGTTGTCTCTCTCGCACCGCTCCCTTAGCAGTGGCACCGTGTTGCTACTTTGCAATTTTACATGGAAACAGTGTAGCTTTGGTGTGAAATAAAAGTATAAGCTTTTGTGCAATATCTTTATTTGTATATGCATATGAAGCATATTTAACTGATGAAAACATATGCATTGGATGTTTACATCAGTCTCATAGTAGTCTTATTTAAATTTTGAGTCATTTTGCAGTTTTTATACGGCTAAATAGCATATAAATTACGTAATTCACGTAGATATATCAATATTACGTTCAACATTTCGTTTAAAATGCCAGATTTCCTGCAAATACATTAGAATTTACGAAAGGAATTTCTCTACTAATTGCCTACTTTGCGTACTTTTCTACTACCATTTTCGAAACAAGGGATTGCATTCTTGCCCTTTCTCTGTCCTCCGTAAATGCAACCTTTTGTAAGGGAGTGTCAAACCGCAGCTGTCAATAATTATCTAACCTAGTATTATTGAATCATGAGGTTGGTGTTATGCAGAAATTTTGTTTGGCAAACTGCGTGCAATTGTTGTTGCAGCAAACTCGGAGAGAGCGAGTTTGGCGACTCTCACAGCAAACTAATTTTGTTTGGTCAAACTGCAGCAAATTCGGTGTTGTCATATACAAAAATTTTAAATTGTGCGCGTTATGTACATCTGAAATTCTCATTTCGTGTTGGCAATAGCCATGAAAACCATAAGGCCCTGTCTCCACAGGAAAACACTGATGTCGTGATAACCATGTCATAAAATATATTTCCAATGGAGACCGCCTATTTCTTATGTGCTGCAATATATGTCAGCGCTTATTGCTTGACATCTATTGCAGGCAATTCGATAGTTTGACAGCCATATTTTCATTTGAAAGAAAGCGTGCTGGTGGTAACATCGATGAAATTTTGATATTAAATCAAAATAAAAATCTGTTCCGTATTGGATAATTTATGATTACGTTTTAGGAAATTATTTAGCTAGTTTTTTAAAGATTTAAATGTTTTTAAACACCGAAATTGAGAGAATGTTGTCTGGTGGCGTCATGCGGCAAATGCTTATTTCAAGACATCAAAGTGCCCACACACAAAAACTTGCAATCACATTGCTCGTCAAAATGACAGTTGGTAGGCCATCGCTGTTCGCCTGTGGAGTTCTGCGGTAATGAACGTGCATCCCTGTGCCAAACTCGACATAACCACCTCCGAGCAAACTAAGCAGCCGCCATTTAATTTGGCAAACAAAAGTTTGTCTGCATAACACCGACCTTAGCCGTTTATTTACATTTCTTCGTTGTTTACAATTTGGTGGTGGCTTTTTACTGCAATTTTCTTCATTTTCGCTTGTGACAACGTGTGTACACATAAGATAAAGAATAATTTAACACAACGGCATGATTTTTAGAAGAATTTGCATAATAAAAATGATTTTTCATGCGTTCAACAATTTCGCGGTTTTCTCCGTTCTCTTCGTTGTTTACTTCTTACAACAAAGATGGCGTCGAGATTTCGGCAGCTAGAAAATAACTTTTTTCGTACTTTCCTTCCCGCTTGATCTTGTGTCTTTCGTTCATGGGAGATTACCACGATTGAGAGAATACAATACAAGAGAAGAATACAAGAGAATATTCTATCATTCTTGGGAGATTACATATATGGATTTTATACACAAGTACGACATCTTTCATTCGAAAATCAATAGCTGTCAAATTTAACAGCTGATTTTCATTGCGTGTATGACAGAAAGTTCGGGAGCGAATAGAAATTTTTTGAGCATATTTTGGCTTTGACAAAAACTATAAAAGGCGAAAATAACAAAGAATGGAACAATTCAAAGGTTTAGGGAAGACTCTTTATATATGGTCACAATCAGCTCTTGTACAGGCTAGCACAGAAAAGTTGAAGGAGGTCACCGGTGGCGAAGTTGTCTTGGAGAATATACATCGCTTAAGCTTTGGTAAGTGCTTTTGTTCAGGAAAATGACTCGGCTCAAAGCTGAAATTAAAATCATGTATCTGATGAAATTTGATGCAGCAACCTACGGCGAATCTACATTCGATCTTATCGTGGTTGAAAATGCACAGTTGACAGATGCGTTCGATAAGCTCTTGCGTCTTTTGAAGCCAAATGGAAAGTTGCATTTGGCCAGTATTTTCGGAACTCCAGAAGTATTTCAGCAAGAGTTAAAGCTCTCTGGTTTTATAAACGTAAGCATAAACAAGGAAGACGGCACATTGACCTCTCAGAAACCGAATTACGAAACTGGCTCAGCAGTGAAGCTGTCGTTCGCTAAAAAAAATGGTCAAGCAGCCTCCGTATGGAAAGTGAATGGTGATGGGGACGAGGAGTTGATTGATGAAGATGATCTATTGGATGAAGAAGACAAGAAAAAGCCAGACCCCGAAAGCTTGAGAGGTTTGTAAGCTAAAACAAGCAATATATTCTTAGTTAACTATGAAGTTTATCCCACCGACAATAAATAATTACTTTTCTTATTTCTATAGTTTGTGGCACGACTGGTAAGCGAAAGGCTTGTAAAAATTGTTCCTGCGGTTTGGCGGAAGAACTTGAATCTGAGGCAGCACAGAAAGCTAAAGCAGACACGGCTAATGCTAAATCAAGCTGCGGAAGTGTAAGTAAAAAATTACGTTTATAAATTAGTTATAAATAAATAATTTTTTTTAGTGTTACCTGGGTGATGCTTTTCGCTGTTCAACGTGCCCCTATCTGGGTATGCCGGCTTTCAAGCCTGGTGAAAAAGTAGAATTGGCTGGCAATTTGCTTAAGGATGATTTATAAAGTGTCTTATAGGCGTTTTATATTTTTTTTTTTGCTGAACTGAAATTTATTTGTATTTATACTTAGAAGTAGCCCGAAATGTAATACTTATGTAAAATTATATCTGATATCTAAATGAACATGTATTGAGAAATGAAGAATGTGTTTATAAATTGAATGAAAGTCCACAAATAATTCTCTGCTTTTGTCAAATTGTGTTCCAACCTTGCAAGATCATATCTTGCACATCGTCGGCTTGCATTGCGGCGATTTTAAAGCGCAAGACTTGAAAGTTTAACTCACAAAAATCATCTTTTTCAGTGCAAAGCAGAAAAGTTAACTCACAAAAATTTGTGTTATTATTTTTGCAAACTATTACAATGGGTGTACAAATTTTTATTAAAAAAACCGTAAACGTAATCAGGGCTATCACAGAATCCATCGAAATCTACGAAAATGTTATCACTAAATCCGATTAGCCACGAACGTGGTGTATACTTCGTAGCAATTCGGATTCAGTAATAATATTGTAGATTTCACGAAAAATTGGACTCTGTGATGGCCCCCAATATAAAAATGTATGTACATATATGTATGACGTAATAATTTGCTTAATAAAGTGCATTTCCTTGCACACGAAGAACAACAAAAAAATAAAATTAGCGTTGACCAAAACATAAAATTAAAGTAATTTGCCTTAATTATATTTTCAAAGGTACTGCTTTGATTGCTCTTGAAATTCGCATGGCGTTCCCTTGATCAGCTCACGATTGTTTCCACTCAAGATACGATAGTTGACCGCAGCAGGATCTAATTCTTTATACAAATATGTAGGCATCCTGTCCGATAGCACCCATACTGTTCCTTCATTGTCGATTTTAATATCATTGGGGAACACAAGTGTATGCGAGTCAGAATCGATGAGACCTTGAGACTCCAAATCGTATGGACGATTCACATTCCAACAGGCAATAGCATCCTTATTTACTTGAGTATAGAAGATAACACCTGTCTCTTTGTCGTACACCTCTGCGGTTGTTTGACCATTCATGCCACGATCGCCGACAAATTTAAAATCGTAATAAGCTGCAGGACTTGTTACATGAGTTTTATTTTGTAATACCCGATTGGGCACCTTGAACTCCTTGGTACTGGCTAGAGCATGGAAATATATGTCCTTCGTGTGGTCAGGGTTCGTTGGTCCAACCGCAAGACCGAATATGCCATCTGTCCATTGAAAATTGACGCCACCAACATTAAAATCACCTTGCAGAGGATCGAAGTGGAAGAAGTTGTGTTTCACACGGTATGAATGATTGTCACGGAATGAGTAAACTATGAGACCGTAAGCTCCTAAGTCGGGGATGTAGGCGTAAGCATTATTGCACTCATTGCGATCGGAATCAATTACCTTAAAACAAAAGATTAGACAATTTAATCGTATTTTAGTATTTTATGAATATTTTAACTCACAATATTGGCGATGAAAGTATCCTCTTTCGTTTGATCTTTGGGAATTGGGAAGCGACGTACAAGTTGGTCAGTTTTTAGGTCAAAGACTACAACAGCATTTGGTGTGACTTGCTTCGGATTGCCCAAAATATCTGCAAGACCAGTATCCAACACCCACAGACGATCACAGGCATCAACTTGTATGCGGAAAGTAGAAATAATGGTAGCATTATCTTTTAGTTCAGTTTCAGCTGACTGCGCCTTCTCAGCATCCAAACGTCCACCAGCTGGAGTTTTACCCGCTTGTGGCTGTACGTCGATGGGTAGCGAATTTGTACCCCAACTGGGGTACGGGCGCAATTTTGGAGATTTGTCTGCTGTGTTAAGGTCTATGTAATTTAGTGAGGCGGCGACACCGGCTTTCCATCTGGAAAATCAAGGAAAAGCAGTTAATATGCGCCTTATCTAGCATTGTGGAAAGAAACGCATGTGCTCATATTGTTATTCTAGCAAAAGAAAGCGAATCTAAGGCGTAAGATGTAAAAGTTTAAAATGTATTTAACCAATTTAAAAAATTATGACTAACTACAGAATCCCTGCAATAGTGACTATCAAAATCAAGAATTTAAAGTTTTGCTGCAGTGTCTTTGGGAAATGTTACTAGTAGTAGTTATTGACGCACCGGATTTGGGGTGGGGGCGGAGGCGGAGGGGCATGGCCACCTAAACCTAAAATTGAGCAGTTTGAAGTGGAATATAACCCAATAACAGAAATCGTGGGATTTGTAAATAAAAGAAATTATCCTTGGTTATCAGGCGATTTTGTATAAAAAAGTTAAAGGGAAATGTTTAGTAGCGCTCACATCGTTTTTGGGGTGGTGGGCGGAGGGGGAGGGGGCTGGGCCCCCCAAACCACCCCCACTAGAAAGGGGACAGTCCCTGCTTTCTAACAAGGCGTATCCCCCCCTTGGGCCCCTAGGGAACCGTTTGAAAAAGGGGGAAAAACGGAATTTTCTTAGGCAAACTGAGCAGTTTGAAGTGGAATATGACCCAACTAACAGAAACCGTGGGATTTTTTAATAAAAGAAGTTATGCCAAATTAGATATCGGGCGATTTTGAATAAAGAATAAAAAAGTTAATTAAAAATAGAAAAAACAAGTTTATATAAAAAAATGTTCTCTGTAACAAATGTTTTTTTGCTTTGAATTTCTTGCTGCGTAGGCGGCCTTCGGCCGCACTTGGGGATTATAACCTTCAGGCAGTAGAATTCTCCTTTCTGTGTTGCCAAATAAAGGGGCTGAACACCTTTTGCAGAGAACACCTTTGTATATTTTTAATGCTTACTGGGTTATATTTTATCTTCTTTTGTCTCTCATTCTTTTGCATATTTTGGAGTTTGACAACTGAACTCCGCCATTTAATTTGCATATGCAACCAAAGTCAGACGCGTGATTTTGAAGGTGTTTTTATTTAATGAATTGTTTGTTATTAATTGGTTAATATTAAAGTCGTAAAGCAAGTTATAACTGATCGAGTAAAGTGTAAAGTGAAGGGGAATACAAAAATGTATTGGTGAAGTGGCTTCTTTAAGGAGAATTAAGAGTGATAAATGTATGCTAATTTCCAAATTTTATAAAAAAGGGCATATTTCAAACCCAATTTGTAAATAAATTAGCGACCAAAATTTACAAAAGTGAGTGTTAAAATAATGCGTGGATCCTTGACTACAAGGGTGTGGATTTTTTTTTTTAGATCGGGCCACCCCTTTGGACGGAATAGCCCGAAATAGTTGTGAGCGCTACTAAACCCCACCCAAGTTAACTAAAAGAAAGTTATTAAAAATAAATTTCACTAAAAATATCGATATATTAAAAAAAACGCGAAAGGTAAAAATGTTATAGTAATAGTAATATGATAGCATTTTAGCGCAGAACTTCTTTCTGCGTAGGCGGCCTTCGGCCGCACTTAGGAATAATAAAAGCGTAAACAGACAGCAGCGTTGATCCGGATCAACTCGGGAATCAATTGCAGTTGATTCGGATTAAGTCCGACTTAGTCCGGATCAACCCTGCCGTCTGTTTAAGCTTTAACACTCAGTAAGTATAATTCTCCTTTCTGTGTTGCCAAAGAAGGGGGGCTGAACACCTTTTGCAGAGAACACCTATCTGCGTAGGCGCCCTTCGACCTTCGAATACATATTTTTCATGGAAAGGTTTATATTTTTAAGGCTTCTGGGTTATATCTTATATTCTTATGTCTCTCATCCTTCTTATATATTTTGGAGTTTGACAGCTGAACGCCCGCCATTTAATTTGCATATGCAACCGAAGACGGATTTTAATTTTAAGGTGTTTACAAAGGTGTTAATAAATTGTGATTAATTAGTTAACATTAAAGTAATAAAGAAAGGTTTAACTAATTTAATAAAGTGTAAAGTGAAGTGGAATATAAGAATGTAGAAGTGTTCGCTATGCAACTGCCAGTAAGAATTAGCCAGTAACAAAATTCAGAGAATAAGGTACCTTACTCTCTCAAAAAGAGAAACTTACTAAGTTTTGCGCGAACAGGAATTAGCAAACATTTGCAAGCTTCACTTCCAGCTGGCGTCCACGGTTGCATTTCGAGCATAATAAATTTTTTAAATTATTTCAGGTGGAATTGAAAACAGGACCTATACGTATATTTCTTGTTATTCTGACTTTCTTCAACATACGCTTCAATTTCTTTGTGGAAGTCACTGTCAGATTTCCTATATCGACAGCGGCGTCGAGTGCGTTCCGATTACGAATACAACTTTTTCAGTCGAGTCCCTTTCAAATGTTTGGACTTAATTAAATTAATTGAATAAACAAATATTTCATACTTCTTTCATTAGTAAATCGCAACAAGATTGTTTATTTTTAAATTTAACGAACTTGTTGATTTAAATTAATGTTGACAAAAATGCAACCGTGAGCTACAATCCTGCTTGCAAATTCTCACTGGCAAAAATTTCCCCAGCACGAATTTGCAACTTCCCCTCCGAATGAAATGACAAAATTGTGCTCTCTGCTTGCTGTGCCCAGTTTTACTGGGTTTTTGGCTAAACGAACACGATTTGGAAACAATTGGTAGCAACTTGCACTCATTTTTTGCATAGCGAACACTCCTTGTATTAGTGAACGAACTCAAGGCAGTGTTGGCATTTTTGGTACAATTGTACTTTTTTGATACAATTTCGTTTACAGTATAATTTTTACTACGCAGTAGTTTTTAGTACAATTTGTGATACAATTTACAGTCGAAAAGTACAGTTTTTGTGTTGATTTCGTACTGAAGGAACACTTTATTTTTCAACACTGACTCAGTGAGGTACAACCAGATCGACACGGCTCAGGAAGGAAACGCTTGCAAAGGGTTGCAAATTCGCAGGGTGCCCTTGATGATTATTTTTTTTCGTCCGTTATTCGAAAACATTTTTTTGATGATGCGATTCCGCATGTTATTTTTTTTGCAGTTATTCGAAAAAAAATTTGTTTGATGATGTGTCTCCGAATATTTTTGCAATTTGCAGGTTTTAAATATTTAATTTTTTGAATTAATTAGTATTTTCGGTACGCAGTTTTATAGCCATTAAATTTTAGTATAATTTAGTGAAAGCTTCAAGTAGCTACACTGCCTTTTTAGGAGAAAAATTGCATGAACTTTAAGTGGTGTAATTTTTATATGGCGAAACCACGCTAAATCAACTGGGTTTTCGGGATAACCAACTTAACAGCCATAACTGCGTGGTTTGGCTCCGATGGAGACATAGTATTGGGAGCAAAGCGAATTTATATAAGGTGGTGTTGTTTCATCAGGTGTGAGTATGCGTTTAATTGTAAATTTTTATTATTTCGCTAGCGAGTGAGTGGAGACGTGGGAGTGTTGGTATTTTCTGTCGCCCTTTTTCATTCGGTGAAGGGCTGAAATTTGACAATGGCCCGCTAAAAGCAAAAACAAAATATAAGTAATTGTTGTATTTGTTGAATCGATACCATATTATAATTCGCCTTTATTGGGAGTATAGCGTGACTTTAATTCACAAAGGCCCTAACCAACACTTTGTTCGAAATTGCGTTTTTTACATATTTCGATAGGATGTATTAAAAATACCTTCAATAAAAATTTTAAAGTGTTAGTACCAAAAACAACCGAGTTATAAGCCAATTTTTAAAAAGCCCACCTGGTTTTGATACGCTTTTTATAATGGTTTTTGCTTTTCCTGTAAAATAAAAAAATTTGTTGGTTAGGGCCTTTGTGAATTAAGGTAAGTTTAAAACTTAAAGTCGTTTTTCTCGAGTTTTTTGATTATGACACTCATGCAGCAAATATGGGCGATATGTATGCATATGTTTGCAAGTATATATATACATATATAAAACCTTACACAATTGATTCAATTTAATTACCAACACATGGTTTAAGGTATTTAATGCAAATTATAATTTTTTCTTGGTAAATAAATATCGTTTGACAAAACTGGAAAAAATTTCTTTGCGGTTTGATACGTCCATTTGTACATACTTACATATGTATGTATGTACTTACTGTAAATAAATTAATTAAAAAGAAAAAATAAAATAAAGCGTTAAAAGTGTACACTTTTCATACAAAAATAAATCACGTTTTCATAAACACTTAACCGACTGTGTGAAAGAACTTAAAGCCGCTAAAATTTAACCACAAATCGGTTGATGTGTACACGCGGTAATTGAGTTGTCCATCAAATTGCGAGCTGACAATCGAGTAATTATCAATTTATTGTAATTTGTAAAACGAAACGGAAACATAACCAAAACCAAAAACGGAAAACAATTATAGACAGCTTCTTGCTTCAATATGCCAATAATTGAAAGAATCACTAGCGACTACTACTTTGCGTAATAACAGTTAGAATGTTGAAATTAAATTGCATGATGCACATAAAAATCGAATCGCAATAAGCCGTGCAGCCTAAACCACGAAATTCAAATTAGGTATTAGTTGGCAAACGTTCCGTCAAAATGATGGGCAATTTGCCATTTGCGCCAAGGGCAATGGGGTCACAATTGATTTTTTTTTTTGAAATATTTAATTGCATTGAACTAAGTTCTTTTGCTCTGACACGATGTCAATTAGAAATCGATTTTACTTTGAAATTAAATACCAATTACAACAACAATGCTGTTGTCAAAAATTGCAAAATAATTAAGCGGCTTAGGCGAGACTGTTCATCGCTAAAGTAAGAATTCATAGAAAATATATATGTACGTACGTACTTAGGTTTACAAATTGTATCGTGTATTTACGTACATTGTACACATCGTCGCCTGAGTAAAATATTGTCGTAAGCGCCATTTTGGCGATTTTTAGTTCTAGATGTAGTTATAAATTTTGAAATAAGGTCTCTCGATTTGTGTTATCAGTTTTTAGATATCACTTTATTTTCCGAGATATAGACTACAATTTTTTCCACAATTTAGTGGACACACACACACACACACAGTTAGTGATGCAGCCATATTAAACTAATGAATATCTTAAAAATGGCGTTCTTCATTTTTGGATATCTCCTTTAGTTTCCGAGATATTGAATAAAAAGTGTCGTTAATTTGGTAGAAATTTCGATCATATTTTGCCGTATTTCATACAAAGTGGCTGCCAAATTGTGGACAAATGACGCTTACGACAAAATTTTGCTAAAGAAAGTCCATGTACTCAAAACTAATTAACAATAAACATTAAAAATTAAATAGTTTAAAAATTTTGTGAACTAGTAACATTTTCACAGACTTTGGAGAAAATTTATCTTCGCGTTTTTGAGAAATTGCAGTCAAAACTTCAATCGCGATTTCCCACAATCTGCCGAAATTAACATACGACAATCTTTTACAATGAACATTCATTCCCAACAAGCATTTCTTTCTGTAAGTGTTTTTAAAAGTAACTTAAAGTAATTTTGCTATATTAAGTACTAAATGAGCGTTTTTAGTATTGAGTTTATTTTAAGATTTTTCAAATGAACCTTGTATAACTGTTAAGAGCGAATATTTATTTTCGATTATTTTACGCTTCTTTCAAGAGTTTTATAAGCCAAAAATCTGCGTTTTTAAGCTTTCTTTCTTTTATTAAACTTAAAAAAAAACCGACTTAATTTCATTTTGCATGTTGGGTATATATGTGCATACATACATATATGTACAGCCATGACAAATACACTTTCAACAATAGATAACCAAGTAACAATGATTTGGCAAAAAGAGCAACATTTAACAAATGGGTGTCTGATTTGTTGTGTATGTTGCAAGCGGCTCACTAGCGAGGCGTGGAAGGAATGCGTAAACGCGTGTGAAAAGGTTTTATTTATTGGCAACACTTCAGTAACGATATTGCAATGGATAATTTTTTGTTTAACACTTCATATATGTATATGTACATACATATATGTGTAGTCTGTTTGTACAAAGGTACTATGTCCGTTTATTTTTAAAGTCGGGGCGCATATTTAGTATAAATGTATATATGTATATACTTATATACACTATAGTGCAAAACTGAGACCATGGTGGTTTTGTTAAATACTTGTAAGGATTTTAAAGTTATTTTGTTTCTTATTTTTTTTTTTATAAAAACATGGTTATACAGAGCTTTCTACAAATTTTCATGCAAATTTTGAACTTTTCGTCTGCATTTTTAGGAAATTTTCGGTAGCAGTTCTAAAGTCTGTTAAACCTGATAAATTCCGTTAATTTTTAATATCTTTCAGCGGTTTTTTTCATACAATGTGTGCAACTTATTAAAAGCAGTGTTGATTATTTTAAATTTTCTTTGCAAAAGGTTTTGCGCATTTTCTTCCATAAGAAATTCGTGCTTATTTAAAAATAAAGTGCAAAAAGTCGTCAGCAAAAAAACTTTGACTTTTTAGCCGCTTAAAACTTGCACTTGTTTATACATACTAATATTTTAATTTTTTTCTTAAAATACAGATCTTAAAAATTTTGATGAAAATTTGTTGAATTTATGTGAGCTCTGTATAAATATTGAAAATTTCATTTACTTATATAATTTTTGTTACAGCATGAACCATATTGAAAAAAAACCCAAATAACAAAAAATTTAATTCTAAAAACCTTGCAAATATTAAACAAAAACACGCATGGAATCACTTTTGCACTATAGTGTACATACTACATACTCATTCAATTTCAATTTATTTTATTTATTTATTGAAGAAAACATTGTTTGTATAAGTAAGACCATAATCCTTTAAGAGTACATACATCAACTAAAATAAGTGACATATTAAGCGAAAAAACATCGAGCCTTTTTGATATCTCCGTATTCCGCTCACCATAATTGCAATGATTTCAATAAAAATCAAAATTTTATTAAGGCTATTCGCTAAGTCTTACAAAACCCTTGGACGGTGTACGGATTGTACGGTAGAACCGGTTTTCCTATGGGGAAACTTTGCTAAGCGTGCAATCCGTACTCCGCACAAAGGTTTTGCAAGACTTAGCGAATGTCCCTAATTTATTCTTCAAAGTAGCAAGATAAAAGTCTATAAATCGACGAATATATGCGCCGTTTATTTTGGAAGTAGCATAATACACTCTTTCAAAAAAATCGAGTTAATGATAACACTAATTACAATTTAATGGTAAAATAAATTAAATTAATTAATTATTAAATTAAAATAAATTCCTTTAAAAAAAAATTGCATTGAAATGTTGAAAACTACTGAGGTTAAGCTAGGGAGAATTTATGCCAATCAGCGGCATAACGAAGACGTTTATTTTGAATTAATTCTCTTTACATATTATTAAACGTGCGATATTTTGTTTAGTTGAAGCAAATTATTGTCCGATTGGCAATTACGGCGGCTTTTAACAGTTCATTATTAAATTAAATAGTGCTTAGAAAATTTAATTGTTATCTATATACATATTTTATTTGAATAAAAAGTGGTGAAAAGGCGGTGAGAATTGTTTAATAAGTTAAAAAAAATGTATGCACACTGTTTAGGTCATCATGAAAAGCGAAAACCCCCTGGCACCAGTGGATTATTTTAGAAAAAAGTCTATTTCCGGGTAAGGTAAGAACTACTTCTTGCGTGAGCTCTATTAAACGCAAAATCCTTAAGCAATATATGATAAGAAAAGAGTCTATGCAAAATATGTATGTACATACCAATGACTATGTGTGTGTTGGGTGCTTAGCACTGCAAGAAATCAGGGACCGAACATAACAGTTATTGATGAAAACTGTCATGGAAAAATTCACTATGAAGGAAATGTTCTACATCTAAGTGAAACATACCAATCGATTTCGTTTTGCACCGAGACTCAAATTTGAAAATAAATTTTTATTTGCAAGTATTATGCAAAATTTAAAAAATTAACAATTATATTTGATTTTTATATTATAAATCCAAAATAACAATTATTTTTGATTTTTATATTATATGGCTTAGATAACAGTTATTGAAAAGTTTTATTTATAAAAGTCATCAATAAAAATCAGTCAGTGACTTTTACTTTTAAAAGTCATTAATATAAATCAGTGACCGACTTTGATTTTTTAAATCCATCGTATAAAAGTCATTAACACTTTTCACAGTTAAGAATGTGTTGGAAAACAAAAGTTTACTACGACTTATTCAAATGACTTTAATAAGTATGATTGAAAAAATAAAGATCAGTGACTGATTTTTATTTAGGACTTTCATAAATAAAAGTCTTCGATAACTGTTATTTAAGACATATAATTTAAAAATCAAAATAACTGTTATTTGCAGATTATTTAAATAAAAATCAAAAATAATTGTTATTTTAGATTTATAAAATAAAAGTCAGAAATAACGGCTATTTAAAGAATAATTAAATAAAAGTTAAAAAAATAATTGTTAAAGTGTGCTTTTTTTAATAAAAGTTGTAACTGTTACGGTCCCTGCAAGAAATACATCAGAAATTTCAATGTCATCAAGCTTTTATTTCTCGAACGGCTACAGGTCCCTGAGGAATGCTTTAAAACTCATAATTTTCATGGAGTTCTACGCAAAAATTCTTAACATCGCGTAGCCGGTGTTGGACTGACGTGACCTACTTCTTTAAATACAATTAATACATAAAAAATGCTCAGTTTGACCTTAAATAGCTCTTGTATACCGTATATTTGGGTATACATATTTTTTTGTCTTCGCCTTTTTTATTTTACCAACCTTTTCATTGGCTGAAAAAAGGGCTTTGAAACTTTTTCAAGCCCAGTTAGGTGGTATTCCCCTGAGCTTCTATAAGCGGCTTCCTATCCACTTTTATGTACTAATTTTTTGCACAGCTATTTTCGAGTATGGGCTCTAATTTTTAATATTAAAATTGTGTGAATAATTTTAGATTCGCTTTAATCAATTAATTAAAAGGTAAATATAATGAAAGAGGCAACATCAAATGAATATGTACATATATATATATATCTGAAATCGGGGTGATTTTCAATGGAAACTACTCTATCTCTTGGCACAAAAAAGGCAACTTCTATAATATCCATTCTCTGCTTATCAGTATGTATTCGATTTTGTAGGCACACACACGAACATCTTTCGAAACATTAAGGTTTACTAAACCGTAGGCATACTAAATACATACGTGGAGTGCCCACTACTTTATTTATCATGAACTTGACAAAACAATTGTACAGAAAAACCGGTAGAACAGAAACTAGTTTATTATATATGTATGTACATGATTTCTTGTTTTTGTTTACTTTTTTGCATTAATTATAAATAGCACACATTCAGTGATTTACCCAAACTAAGTACTAAAGCTTGTAGGATGAAAATGTTTCAAGTGAGTTTCTTAGTTTTTTATGGTATTAAGGAAAGGAGATTTCTCAGAAATGTGACTAAATATTACCAATTGATTATTTGACTTAACGCAGCATTAAGCAAGCAATTTACAGTCTAAACCTAGTTCCGTGCGTCATTAAATTGACATTTATTTGCCTCTTTTTAAACATAAATACACATATACAGACTCTGCAGTTTCACCTTTTTTTACACTTTACCTTGGCACAGTGACAAATAATTTGTTATTCCAACGTTCCAAACCTAACGGCAAATTGTTCTCGGGCACATAGCGGCCCGTGCTTATGGCTTCTTGTTTATCTTGCTCACTTGGCCATTCGAACTCCAATTGTTTCCATGAAAATCTCTCCTCCAACTTAGCTGCAACATTACAAAAAATAATACTCGACGCACAAAACAACGCCGAAAAAACGAGATATTTCATTTTTGTAGTAAATTTTACAAGATCAATTCAATCGCTTAAAATTCACGTTGTTGCCCTCACTTGCGCTTCGTTAACACTGCCTTGAATTGAAGCTTTGCTTTAGCTTTTTAATCGATCCGTTTGATGTTGACTCCGGCAGCTCATTGCAAAAGATATTTAGGTAGCGAAGCAGAACTTGTTGGTAGCATAAAAAAACGGTTTTGTGCTAATATGTATCTTGTCGAAGTACCCGTCTTGTGCTAAGTAGATAGGATAGTTTTTTGTCTCTGCAACATTTTAATATATGCTTGTCAACATGTTGCTTGCTGCTACGTTTGTTTTTTCGTGTTGCATGGGAAAATTTTCTGTTGCAATAAGTGTTTGGCACGATGTGCGATGTACCCTTGATCTGCAAACGAAGCCATTGCACATATACATAGTTTTATAGAATAATCGAACGATAGAAAATTTGTATGGCCACCATTTCCATGCAATTGGACGAGCACACTAGCTACTAGAAAACGTTTTCTAATCAATTTATGTTTCAAATGGCGGAGTGGAGAAGTTCTTTTTAGGATATCAAATATCGCAAATTTAGACAATGTTCCAAACCGATTGCTTCAGGAATTACTAAAATAACGTGACCTTTAAAAACTTGTAAAAAAAAAATCCGAAAACAATATTATTTACAGTTATAATTAAACTGTCGCTTTCCATATCTTAAGTACTCAAGAGAAAAATCTTGTTTTGGTAAAATTTACTGTCGATACAAAGTAATTACCAAAATGTGAGATAATCGGATTCATAAAATTTTTACTCCGAAATCATTAACGCATGCCAAATTAAAAGCATGTTTTTTTGAACTCAAAATTATAAAAAAGGCATTAAATGTAACTGATATGTACATTAGAGCGTATCACAATGTGTAGGCAGAAAAAAGTTAAATATGTTGAAAGCGATTTTGAATACTCTACTACTACTAGGAGAGTTTTTCGGAACAGGAAAATTTTCTACTTCTTCTGTAAAAACAGCTAATCGTTTTTGTTTTTTCTATAACTATACATCGTTAAAAAGGTGTGTCTACTACTAAGATGTCTTAAGCTCGGTTGTCGGATGGCCTTCGATTTCGCTAAAATTTTGCAGATGGGCTAAATCTATGCTAAAATTGACGGAAAAGGACCTAAACAAATTTTGGTATTCTTTTAACAGAAGTTATAATATATGTAAACAATTTTTGAATGGCGTATAGAAATCGGATATTAAATAAAAAAGTTGTTAAAAAAAAAAACGGAATTGACTGTTTTTGAAGGGTGCAGAAAAAGCATTTTTACACTCCTGAAATACTCTCATAGTGTTCATATTGAACTGTTTTTTGTGATACAGTCTAATGTACATACATACAGACTTCTGGTATTTTATAATTACATGTGTATATAAATTAGACTGCATCACTCTCCATAATAACAAAACGGTACTGTTTCTCCATCCAAATTATAAAATCTATTATATTTTAAGACTTGCTCCACGATATTTCGGAAAAATACTAAGATTTACGTGAGGTGGACCGATTTGAAAATACTTCCAAAAATGGAGATTTTTATGTACGAATAAAAATTGCTTTTTTAAAGTACTTTTTGAAGAAAACTACCTCCGATGATAAAACAGTTTAAGCTCAAAAACTTGCATACATTTTTTTAAAAAATTTTCAACGGAATCGTAAGAATGAGATTTTTGATGCTTTTTTTTCTACTTTTTTCATAGATTGGTTTAAGAAAAACCTGAATAACTCAGCTATGTACATTAGAGCAGGTCGAAAAACACAAAATGTTTGATACGAAAATTATATACATAGGTCTTAAGAGGTGCTATTTTAATCCCTTATTCTATTCCCTGGTTCTCTGCGAAAATATTTGCAGTCTGCGGAAAGAGCTTGGAAAATTCCGCATACTAAAGATATTGGCCCGTAGTCATAGTCAAAATAAAGTCGACTTTAAAGTTAGTTGCAGCTTTTTGACATAATTTTCAATGGGATATCTGTCAAAAAAGCTGCAACTAACTTTAAAGTCGACTTTATTTTGACTATGACTACGGGCCATTGTCGCAGAGAAATACAATACAAATTGCGTATCAAACCCGTCTTAATGTACATACATACATACATATGTAGAGATAATCAACTGCGCGCCCAATTGCCAATAACAGCAGTCATGAAGTTTTCTCAGAATAACCTTTTTTAATAAATGCGTATATGTAAATATTTTGAAACAATATTGAAAGTAATTTTGTCATTATTAAATTTTGTCTTTTGTTTTGATTTTGCTTTGCGTGAGCTCTATAAAGTGACATTTTCATACAAATTTTCGATTTATAAAGCAGTTAAAGTCTTCTTTATTTTGTATGAATTTGGTTGTAACAGTACATTTGTATGTGCGCATGTGCGCGTACATATATGTATTCCCAATAAACATTAGGCTTGGTTAACAATTCGAAAACGATTGGAAAACAAATCTTTTTTCAAGTTTTACATTCGATAATGCATGTGAAAATAGGTTAGTATTCGATTCGAGAAGTAGGCTATTCTCCATCAAAACGGAGCCTTCGTTATCCCTTCGTTATGAATTCGAAATCCAGCCCATTATCGCAGGACAATTTTAATGAGAGAGAATGATTGTCTTATATTTCGCTTCGGGAATGAGATTGAACTCATTTGGAGTGCATTTTCAATATACTATGAACGCTGGAAAACTATGGTTGGTTATTAGTTCGTTCTCAGTTCGATATTCATATTGGATATTGAAGGTCGTTTTCGAAAGTTCGCTACAATGCTAATTGGGTTGTATGTGCATACATTTTACGTTGATGCATTCAGCTGTCAGTTTAGTTTAATTTTCGACATTTAATTTGATTTTAGTTTGATTTTATTTGCCAAGTTTTTGTGTCTGTCAACGTTAAGGCCGCTTTTGTTCATGTGCAGTGAAAGAGATCGGATAAACGTATTCACAGACATATAAATGTATATATTTATGCAACTGATGGCATCATTTATACGCAATTTCGTGGCCGGATGACACCAGTAGTGTTCTATATGTGGAGCGAACCATAAATATTGTATTAGTTTGAGCATAAAGCCGGAGTTAATCTCATCAATGCTAATTGAATATGTATGTACATGATTTTTTAAAAGAACTACAGTCAGTTGATAACCGTTCATACCTACATACATATATATATATACTTACATATGTATGTATGTATGTACTATGTACATATAGACATAAATTTGTTTAGAAATTATTGAAATCTTTTGTTAGCATGGATTAGTGGCACATGACAAATATAATTGATTATTTTAATGTCCGCGCACGAATGAATAATTTAATGATATTTTTATTTTATTTTTTAATGAGTTACTGTTAAATATTAAACTCTATCTTTTTATAATTTGTACAACCCATGCATATGTTTAAATTAGCGAATAGTCATTTTTTGGAGTTTCAATGATATTGGCACCATATAAATCTCAATTTAAGTCATTTATAAAAAATATTATTTTTTGCTACAATTTAATTATTTTAATTAACTTATTTGGAATAAATGTAAATACTTTCATTTTTACTCAGGGCACATCGTACAAGAGCCAGTTCATTACAGTTAATGTTGTCATTAATAATATTGTAGACGAAAATCATAGAGAAATAGATTGTTCTAAGTATCATGCAAGCCTAATAATTTACGTCTACCTGTATTATGGTGAGATAACGGTCCTTAGTGAACAGTATTCGAGCAGACTTCTTACTAAGACATAACATAAAGAGACTTTAGGGATTGTGGAACTTTAGAACCACCAGTGTTTCTTCTAATGAAACCGATCATTGCAAACGATTTGGAAACTATATAGTCAATATGTTTCGAGAAGGATAAGTTGGAGTCAAAAATAGCACCCAGATCTTTTCTTTGCCTTATTTAGTTTGAAAGTTTTCCAAATTCTGCTTTTTGTATACTCTACATTAGCGATCTGCTAATTTGAAGGAGATTCGCTGAGAAGAAAAAAGTCTCATTAAATCCACAGACGCAAAAAGTTTGTCAATTCGAACTTTCGGTGTGTCCAATAGGGAAATTGAGGGAAAGTTATTTCATCATAATTATCACGCAGTAGAAATCTAAATATTACTCTTTTAATATTTTTGAAGACCAAGCAGTTCTTTTCTCATTACTTTGATGTATTGTGGAACGATTTTTCCTCATTCCTTGTAAATTTGGGTTTGGAGACAAACCGGTTTCGGCATTGTGCCATCTTCAGTACAATTTTTCGTTACTTTCTTACGCCTTTTCTGACAATCCTCTGTTGAGTTAGTCAGCTCGTACTTTGAGAGGCCCGGATCTTGAAACGACTCAAGGTGGCAGTAAAAAAGAGGGAGAAAAGTGTTGCTTCCCATGAAAAAGGCTGATGAATTTGTTTTACCAATGCTAAATTTTCCTAAATTCAGTTATCAAAATGTTTGATCTGTATATAGGGTATCCAAGAAGTAACCTGCCTAAGTTGAGAGAAAGGTATCAAAAAATAACGTCAGAAGTAGTAACGGACCTTTGTACTTTGGAAGTATTTTACAGAAAAAATTTACTACATAAATAATTTACTACATCAATATTTCAAAAACTGTTACACTTTTACCTGAGAATTTTTGCTTATCAGAGAGCTCACCTCCCCATCTACTTTCTCCTCAAATTTGGCAGGGTACTTCTGGGACACCCTGTATACATCACGCTGGCATTTTTTATATTTGTTTCTCAAATACTCTACCAATGTTTACTAAGTATCTATGAAAGGTTTTTCGATTACGAATTTCTATTTATTTATTCCCTATTCAATTATTGCTTCATCCAAATATATTAAAAAAAACTGGTTTATTTATAGCACATAAGTACATACATACATACATATATTGAGAATAGCATGTCGCTAACTTAGAGTGAAAAATTGCTAAGTCCAGTTTTTAAAATTTAACAGGAGAGAAGAAAAACTGTTTGAACTATCCTGCAAAAATCGTTGGACCATGTGGTCTATTTGTGGTATATTGGAGTACTTACAAAAGTGTTCATCTGTCATGCTGTAGCGGACCAACACGTGTCTCGGCACCAGCT